GACACGTCTCTCTTATCTCTTGCCCAGCCAAACCATATGCCCCTAGGCCACAGAGGGAGGGAGGAGAGAAAGATGAGGTGTAAGTGTGTGAGAAGGATATAATAAGTCTTTGCAGGATGCAGAAAATTGTGAAAGAGGCATATGCCATGCGTACTGTAGGTATGAGTTATTCAAGGTCAGCCAGGGAGACAGACACAGAAATCTGAAGATGAATAGAAGGCGTGAAGAGCGGACGGAGAAGAGATACATGGTGAGGCCCTGTCTCGAACCAAAGGGGCTTCTGCCTTGACCCACAGCCCTTTCGCTTCCCCGCAGCTTCTCGGTTGCCTGTTGACCACACACGCCGCCTGGCACAGCGCGGACGCCAACGCCACACGACACAGAGCCGCCATCAAAGTCTCAGACACTCCAGCAGCAGGAGCCATCAGGCCTGGCTGAATGGAGGAAGAAGAAGCAGAAAAAAACATAAGCGTTTTGGTAATCCACAGGCTTTCAGTCTGTGGAAATACAAAAGCGGACTCAAATAGTGAATGTCAAGCACGATTTCGACTGCTACTGTATTTTGGAACAGTTCTCTTTGGTTAATTTTGGGTTACGGACAGAAATCAAAGCTTGTCAAGACCTCAACATATAGCGAAAGGTTTGATTTGTTAAGTCGAATGGTGATTTTAATGTTCACAGTAGCAGCCTGACTGGGTGACTGGGGCATTGGCTATATGTGTGTGTGTGTGTGGGTGGGTGGGTGTTTGTGACTGGCCTCACATGTTCAACTCCAACTGAACCATGTGTCTGATTCTCCCTGTTTATTGGCTGAAAACTGATACCTTTAAGGGCTTCATTCATGCCACATTACGTGAGGTAAATTCAATATCTCAGACATCATGGTTGGCCCATTCACCTCCTTGCCCTGGGTGATTTTTACATGTTGGATGTCTGCGCCTCCCAGCGTTTTCCTTCACAGAAACTGCTGTGTTTCCCAGCGCTCTGCTGCTCAGCCTAATTTCTCTTCAACACCTTCAGTCTGGGACACTATACGTGCCCAGAGGGCCGGTGAAGTCGGTTTTATTTTATTCAGTGTGAGTTTTACGTGCTTTTAATAGGGTCAGAAATTTATGCGGGTGGGGATTTTATCTGCTAGATTCCGACGTGTGAGCTCACATTACTGGAGCAGCATTAGATGTAAACTCCTGGAAAGTACGCTGCTTGTAGGAATAGATTCAAGTGTGGGTGTTTGTGTGCGTGTGTGTCAGTGAGCGTGCAGCTATCTGCAGCTCATGCTGTGGATTTACAGTGCGCCTCCAAAGTATGCCACCAAGTCTTCTCACACGCATGCACGCACAAAAACAAGCACACGCTCTTGGGCGCGGAAGGTGCGCTCTTTATCACTGTGACATTTCCATTTAACACGCAGCCCAGCAGCTCGTACATTCACATCCATGTTTCCTGTGCCCCATGCCGAGGCACAATAACAACCACTTAACATTTAGCAATAGCAGATCAGCCCCAAATTCTTCCACTTTCCATCGCTTCCATGGGAAAGCTCATTATTTATCTCTGATTTAGAGTGACAAGAATTATGAAGGGGCCACGGTCTGCTACCGAGAAACAAAGGAAGCACGGGCTTACTGCTGGTTTATGGTGCACATTTAGAAGGCGTTTTAGCTGCACTGAACTTAACTGTTAAGCTGCAGTGGATGCAAGTTATGAGGAGAGACAGAAGGAATATGACAGCAGTTTCCAACCTGAGGGGTGGAAAGCATTCCCGACCTGAGTCCATGGGTCATAGAAGAGATTTAAAGAGCAATTACGCCAAAAAAGTTTATTTATTTATGTATGCTTTAGTCTAAAATTTATGTTGGAAAATGCTTTCACCTCCTGATATTGCTTTAAATCATTCAGGATGACAGAAAATAACTACTGTAGTTGAAGACTGCATGTAGAGGTCATTGGTTTTCATTACTTCACAATAAAATACAAATGACCCGTTTCAATATTTGGCCCAAAACATACCAATAACACTACACTAAACACTATGGGCTTTGATCAGATTATCATCATCAGGTTCAGCAGATGTCACTATACTGTAAATCAACACGTCAGCTCTAGATGGAGTTTTCAGGGTAAATAACATTACAGCAATATGCAAGCTTGTTAGCATGATCCAGAGGAGAGGAGGGACAATCTCCAAGAAGTCCGTTATTTGAAATGATCTTGATATATAGATGTAACTTTGGAGACCTCATATTTTTTCTGCCACCACTTCAGAAACATGTAGGTCACAGTATGTTGGACTTCTGTTTGTGACTGCATCTCACCTCTGCTTTAATGTAAACCATATGTGACGGATGAGGACTTTTCTCCACTCTTTTATTCGCTGCCGACGGATGCTGACCCGAGGCCGTCCCGGCTGCCCCCCAGCCCCCGGGGTTCCACGTCGGCCTACCGGCCCTCTCTCCGCCCGAGGGACGCCCAGCTCCAGCGTTTAACACGGTGATTAAAGCGGGGGAGCTCCGGCGGACACAGAGAGCACTTTGTGCCGGGAAATACGGGTCATTGTCTGCCGCGACGCCCGGGCCGGTAGGGAGACATAAAGGTGGACTTTGTGTGAGTGTTTAGACAAGCTCAGCCAGGCTTCCAAAAACCGCATGTGTGCCACATTTCCTCTTTCATATATCCTGATGTAGTTACCAGGATTACACGGGATAAAATAACTCCCCTTTCCTTCCCCATCCCCCACTGATCAATTAAAGGTGCTTCTCAAAAACTAAAAAAAATAATGAGTCTGTTTAGAAATAAATGGCATGGAAGAAACCAAACACGTGTGCACATAATAAGGTTGATTACCTTTCTATGTTTATAAATCTATGCATTGATTGGCATCCACAAGTGGTCTCTACCGCCCCCTACTGATTCTGCTCTCGTTTCGTTAAAGCAAAGAAATCATAGCCCTAAAAGAGAGCCATAAATGTCAGACACCTTGCTATTTATAACTGAGAGTGTCCAAAAGTTGCACTTTGCATACTCTGGACCATTTTGGGAAACTGGCTGCTAAAGTGGTCTGTAATAGCTATCTAAGGCTATAAACTAAATTGATCATTTTAATTGAAAATAACGTGACTTTTGTATGTTCGTAACTTCCCTCCCTTGCTTCCACTGCTTGTTTCTCTGATGCTCCTGATTGTATCACAGCATCTGCATCAGTTGTAATAAAAATGTTCACTGCTGCAGAACAGGGAGTTGGTGGACACGTTTCCAGGGTTCTTGACAGGTAGGACATTTTGTTCTGAGCAGCTGAGCAAACTTAATAAGGTGATAAGATCAAAAGCTCTATAAACAGGTATGTGTACAGACAAAAAATAAATGTTATGTGAGGCCAGATGGAATAAAGCGAAGCATTAAAAACAGACTGCAATCACTACAGATCAAAACCACCACATTGTCAGGGAGGTATATATTTGGTGGCAGGAAGGATAACTCATAAATTTCAACCTTGTTTGAAATACACCATTTTTTTTTTGTTTCTTATGAAAGTATGCACACAGTATAGTAGTGAGCCTCATCTATACTATCATTTGTTCTGCTACTTTTAGCATTTGCATAGATATCTACTAATGTGATCAATGTATAGAAAGTTGACAACTGGCAGACAGTATGCTTTAGGAGTGGAGCTGATCAAGACAGCTGTCAAAGAGACTTTTCATTGGCCCAGTAGGAAGCTGGACAGCAGCGTCCCTGATGGGGGCTCTTCAGCCTGGCAGACATACAGGCGGGCAGAGCCGGGTGAACGACTTGGCACTGGAAGTGGAGCTGGCATTCTGGTGAAGAAGTGGCTGGCACCAAGACCAAGCTGGCCTCTCCAGTGGCAAAGAGGGAGATCTCACACATATACACACACTCTGCCACACTCCTGCTGAGGAGCAAACGGAGGCTGGCAGGGAGGGCTGCTCTTCAAAAGCTGCTGTTGTCTGGAGATGGCTTTCATGTGAATGGAGGCCTTAATAGGCGTTGTGCGACGGCTCTCGTTGCCCGCTGAGCACCGAGTGATCCTCTTCTGTTGGGTTTTAATTAATAAACAATGTTTGAAGGCCACAATGCACTTGGAGGGACAACACAGTGACTTCTTGGTGGCCTTGATGCTGTTTGTTTTTGAGTTGTACTCAGACTCCCACTGAGGTGACCACATAAACGGGAGGGTGCTGACATTTTTCATCAACTTTTTTTTCCCCACTCCAAAAAAAACAAAACACTTGCATGGCTACAAGTGCTGCAAAGTGCTTTCAGTTATGAAGATGATTAGCAATACCTCTTCTAAGACTGATTAAAGAAATTATAACCTCATATTAGTCACTTATATGAGTTGGCAGAATGAATCATACTGGTATAATACCAACAGGATAACAAGTTCTAATGGAGTCTACTTGCAAAATTGCAGTTGTTTATCTGACCTTGCTTTTAAATATATAATAATTTTAAATACATCTTTAACAATTTGTCCCCAGTGTGGTATATCAAGCACCCATGTTCCACCCATTACCGTCTCAACAAAGAAGTTAAAAAATGCCACATGTAATACACAGTATTTTAAAAACAACAGCAAGGTATTAATACTTTCTCTGTGGAGAAGTTAATGACTGATTTCTGTAAGGACTGCAAAGCACAGTTGAAATAACCCACAATTCACATAGTTGATTCTCTCATGGACCAAGGATGCCATCTGGTGGATTATTAGGAGATCAGCAACCAAGTACACCCCCAAAAAACTTGGGATACCTTGTCTGCTAGTTGGAACATAATGGTAATACTTTAGTCCCAGGAATTACAGATCTTTCTTCAGTTTGACCTTCTAGTTTGTGGAACCATTGTGAACCAAAAAGAACTGTCTGCGCTACAGAAACAGGGGCACCCATCTTCTAACAAGGAGCCAAAAACTGTAACATATAGTAAAGTAGATGCAGCCAGGAACACTTGATTACTAGGACAAAGGGTAGTAGGACATCTTACAGCAAAGATCATTTTAATGGTCCCAAATTTTCTGAACAACTAGTGTACACTCATGTAAAAGAAAGGAAAAACAAAAGATATGACAAAATTCATCACATCTAGAATTCCACTCAATCTTTAATCAAGACGGGATTACAAATTCTCCAAAAAATCTGCAGTTTCAAAGGGCAAAAAGGGTAAAACTAGCTCACCTACTGAGGTCTTTAAAAACCTGTTCAAGTGTGACTGAAAACGTCCTGAACATTTAAAGGCAGGTCTTTTTTTTGTAGTCATTTACAAAAAAAAAAAAAAAAATAGACTGTGACAAATACAGAACATAAAAGAAAATAATGAAGAAACTGCTGGCTTTTTTTCCTCTTCGGAGAAACAACGTCCGCTGAGGAACGGCGACACTGATGACATCATCAAATGACAACAAGGACAGCGCTTTGCCACATGCTGCCTCCCATCTGGTCCTATATGCTAACTTAAAAAGGGAGAAAAAGCAACAGACAAAGAGAAGGGAGAGAGCAGGGGAGAAAAGAAGGAGAAAGGAACAGGAAGGAAGTGGATTCTGAGGAGGGGACGGGGGTGCGAGTGGTGGTTCTAGGTCTGAATTGGCCGACCCGTTTGGGCCACTGTGATGTCCTTCCCTGAGTGGGGGGCAGGTGGGGGTCAGTGGGTTATGGTCCAAGCCCGCGAGCTCTCTGGGATTTCTGTCTGTGTTGTATGTGTTTTTTGTATGTGGTCTTTTCCTCCAGTTGCTAAATTACCAAACTCATGGCTCATACTGTTTGAGTCCGCTGAAGATTTATTGAGTGAAATTTTTTTCCCCTCTCCAAACTTTCAATCGTCTCTTCCCATTTTCAGACGGTTTTTCCACTCCTGGTCTCCTGATTGGCACTTGTATGAATTGGACTAGTGTGAAGAGCCTTCAGATCCATTCACAGTCTGCTCCTCATGTGGCCACCCGTTGACACTGAGCGGTGGTTTTCATTCATTCAATTTGTTTACAAGTTTGATCGTTCCTGTGTAAAGTCTATGCGCTGAGACTGCCTGAGCGGTGCATAAGCTGAGACAGTGACGCTTCTTTAGGAGCTCAGCTTGGACTTCTTTGAGGGTGGCAGAGGGTCTTCTTTACTCTCTCCATCCTCCTCCTCCTCTTCCTCCTCCTCATCATCATCATCATCAGGATAGTCCACAAGTCCCACCAAACCTCCCTGAAGCAGAAACGAGACACCCAGTTTGCAGAAACTGCAATTATTATTTGCAGACATGTTTCAACACTGCTTTCTTTATAACTAGCAATCATATGCCCATTACACATACATGTCAATATTGCATGCAATTCTTCACAACTACTAAACTCACTGCATTTTTCCCCCCCATTTTTGTATATAATTTGGTGTTAATTGTCCTGATTTTGTGCAGCGAGTCTTCCATTTTTAGAAATCTATTAAATCCATAAATAACACACTTTCTGATAATCTCCATCCCCCCTCTATTTTTCCACCATGTAAATAAAGTCAGCTAGAAAAAAATATCCTAGTCCAGTGGCACAATGGTTATCATGTCCAGTTTTTGTATTATATAACAAGAATAGAGGGGGAGTTGTGAGAAATTTAACAGTATAAGTGTGAAGATTCATAGCTAAATCTCATTTCTTACTAAATCCTTCACTTAAGTGTTTAAAGCATTGCCAACACTGTGCAAATCTTTTTTTTATTTATTTTTTTTAAAAAACTTTGCTCATTAAGAAAAAAAAAAATGTTGACAGGTACCTTTGTGGTTACAGTTGTGGTGGAGGGTGAGCTCCGTGCGCCTGAGCCTGGAGACCCTGGAGACCCTGGCGATCCTGGAGAACCTGGGTTTAATGAGGCAGATGAAGGAGGGCTGGAGAGGCTGGTTTTAGTGGAGCCCGAGAAGGAAAGCTTGAAACTGGGATTCTGTCTGCCCGACAAGTTCGACTTTCCCAAAACTTCTTTCTCCTCTGAGTCTTTCACTGTGGGTCAACATGATGAGGTGATAAAGAAAAGGTCATTCTCTCATTAAAATTCTTTAAAATTCTGGAGGGGTGAATATAATAGTCTCCTCGGAAATCAGGACAGGCTTTTGCAAGACATATTTTCCTTCTTAGGTGTCTCTCACTACATATAAATATACCTAGCCAGCATGTAAAAACTGGTTCTGAGTGGCACTGCTATGCTGAACCAAATGAAAACAGTTTTCTTTGAGTGAATCCTTACGAATGCAGAGCAATACATTTGAAGTACCTGAATATACCTTTAATGAAGTCTAGTTTGGTTTGCCATACAAGACAATAACAGAAGACATTATGTGCAAAGCCCAATGCACCATTTTTAAAAAATCAAAATAACTTATCTTGGCTCTGCAACACCTTACAAGCAAATTTCAGGAAATTCAGTTTGGTAGTTTTTGCTTCTTGCTGACAAACAACAAACAACTTTCATCTGGGGAGGAATAATGTAAGAACCATATACACTGGTGATTTCCCCATGACTACACCTAAAGCTGTCAATGTAACCGAGACAACCCAATTACAATGTATTTTTCACCTAAAATTTGCCATTACATCTGTAACCCTGAAATACCCTTTATAAAATCTATTCTTGTATCAAATTTACAGGGGCTTCGTTTTCAGAAATAATCAGCTAGTAACATTAATTTATATAATTAACAAAAGGAATGGATTCTTTCCAACCCCAATTTCCCACCAAACATCACAAGTTTCCTTACACGTACATTTCTTTCTTTCCATGAACTTGCTAATTGGTTCCATGAGGTCTTCCTCACTCTTCATTTTATCAGAGGGAGGAACAACTGCCTCGCCATCCTCAAGGTCATCTTCATCTGCGTTGAACCACATCTCCTCCTCATCCTCCAGCGTCCGTGCATCACGTCGGAAGCGGTGGTTCCTCAAGATGGAGCGCATGCTGTCAAAGAAAATGCACAGTTCAGTAATCAGGAAAAAAAAAAAGATTTTCTATTCTTTGAAAGCTCTTTTGTTAGCCAAATTTCCACTTACAGAACTAATGTAATCCACAAACATGTGGTTTGCATTAGTATACACATACACATGAAGTATACACATAGCCCAAGAAGCTGTTATAAAACATACACCACATTCGTTTAAAAATTAAGTCGATATTTTATAACATGAAATTTAACAGAAGTATTACAGATTAACAAAACAAACCCATCCAGTTTCGCTTTAAGAGTCATAGATGATCAACTGGTCTATTGCTTAACTATAAACGGTTAGACTGCGTTAAGTTGCAAAACCTTCTCTATAAGTGGAAACTTGCTTTTGTACAGTTGGTGAAATACAAGTGTAAGGATGCGTTTCAAAAGAATATAAACTGGGCACGATTTACAACACAGCAGCTCAAAATAGCACTATGACTCAACAAAGCTGCCTTCAGAAAAAAACAATTCATGAAAAAAAAAAAATTCATCAAAATTAGTCATTCAAGATGTCACACGCACTTTTTCCATTTAGTGTCAGACAAACATTGTCTGTCAATACATAATTAGATAAAGGCAGCAGTCAAGACAAAATCTTCTTACCTATCAAGTTTGGGGTTGTCCTGCCTTTCTCGTTGTTGTTCATACCGCAGCTTTAGGCCTTTAAATGTCTGGACGTAGTCCACATCCTCAAGAGCCTTCCAGTAGTTCTCTATTATATGAGCCGTTAGAGACTTCACATCCTCCTGGGAGCAATGGCAATCGGGAGCGGAGAACACAGAAATGGTAGCAGAGGGGGAAAGTATGGAAAGAGAAAAAGATGGGCAGTTTACAGTTTTCGATAAAGCAGAGTGGGAAAAAAAAGTTGGAAAGAAGCCAATGAGGGAAATACAAAAGATAGATTAGAACTAATTCTAATGAATGCACACATAACAACTGGACTGAGCATTTTCAGACCTATAGTTCCTTTACTCTGGTCCAAATCAGGTGATAAGTTTGTAAACCTGTAGCTTTTTCTTCTGTTGTTTGCTTTCTTTTTGCATTGACAAAACCCCAAGCTAACTTCACCACCATCTCCTCAAAACAGTCTTGGGCATGGTTGTTTTGGTCAGAACCAAACAACCTTAAAACACGTCACAGTTTGGTTTAAATGGACTCAATACTTGTAAACTTTTAGGGATTTAGTTTGACATCGTACACATATCAGTTCCTCTGATTAAATATAAAATCACTTAAGATAGGCATTAAAAACGTATTCTCTCTAACAAATAATTACAGCTATGTTTGCACATCAGTTAGCCATACATTGGTTTTTTTAAACCTGTAAGACATGACCAGTTTTTTCAGTACAGGTTTTACAGGCTCTTCAAATGTGAGAAGCAGAAGCAATAAAAAACAGGAACAAAAATCAGTAACACAAGTGAAACCAAACATTTTTTTCCTTCCAGCTTCCCAAACCAAGTTAACCATGAGATGTACAGACCGCTATTATGGCGCTCTGACATCATTTATATGCTGGTCATGTCGCTCAAGGTTCTTTGGTGTTAAATATATACTGTTGTTTACCTATTAAATGTTGGTATGAAAAATACTCACCACACGAACATACTCAAACATCTCAATAATAGCAGAGTTCATGAGATTGTAGCGTGAGCCGTTATTGAGGAAGGCCTTGATGACAGGTTCAAAGAGAAAATTTCTCATGATGTAGCGATTGTAGAATTCATCCTTTAGACCAATAATTCTTCGCATGAAACGCAGGGCGCCTGTGCAGGGAGAAACACAATGTTCAATATTAAGCAATAGATGTCCTTATTTGTCAAACAGACTTTAATTGTATCGTTCTCTACTTTGACAGATATAGTTGGAAGAACTGTGACTTACATAGAGCCAGGAAAGCATGCCGGGAGGCTGTGAGCACCAATACCCTCCTGAGAATATCCTTGTTGATGATGTAGTTCTTGATGTGATAGGTGTGATGCTCAACACAAAACGTTAGCAGCTCCAAAATCAAGGCCAGCAACTGGGATGTTTGAAAGTCATCTAAAGGAGGAAAGAAAGAACGTGAGAAAGCTAGCAACATAAAAACTTGTAGATTAAAAAAAAGAAATCCAACAAAAACTCAGTACCTTTGCTAGGTTTTTCTTCCGTGGTGTTGGCCAGTAGTGGAGCTGATAAAACATGCATACAGTGCTTGTAGAAGAAGCTCAGAAACTCAGTTTTTTCTGTTTTCTGTAAAAAATAAAATAAAAATAAGGAAACAGATACTTTGCTGAATTGCTAAATTTTTAAATGTACTTGAGCTTTTCACTCCAGTTCAAAAGAATTACAAGCAAGAAAGTGAAGCTGCAGATATCCTGGCCAACCTGTTGAATTGGTGGCAGTGATGTTTTCAGTTACTAGACAGTAACTTGATTAACAAGGAAATCTGCCTTCTTTTTTTTTTTTTTTACTGATAGGACTATTGTCTTTGTCCAAAGCACAAGAACCCACAGACATAACATTTGTTCTCTTTTGTATTTAAGCACTTACACATTTTGAAAGCCAACTCTTATCTGCGCAATGGACTTATTTTGTTTTGTTTTGATTTTTGTTTGCTTTACGGTCAGTGTAAATAGTACATACATACATAGTGGAAACTATGTAAAAGCAGCATTCACACTCACATTTGCAGTAGCAAGCATATTCTCTGGATCCACCAGAGTTCGCAGCAGACCCATTAACTGCACTGCACCACCAAGCTCTGGGTCTGTGTCACAGATCATGTGCTCTATGATCAGGTTGATCAAGAGGATGTCCTGAAAGGCAAATAAGTTTTAGTTTATGTGCATCATTGTGATAAATGGACATCATTCCTATTTATCATGTTGCCTTTGTGTATATACTCACATCATCATTCTGCTGTGATTCCTGCATGACGAACTCTCGTACCATGGAGGGGTTGTATTCCACCAGATAAGAGAAGATATCTGTGGCTGCCCCACGCACCTGAACATCGTCCATTCCCTTTTCAAAATAAATCTATTTATTATATTTATCAGCAGATTTTTGATTTGCACGCCAGGAAATTTTGAAATGTACTTTAAAATTGTTCAAAAGTAATAACTTTTAAAAAAGGAACAACCTTTGTTGTTTCTCTCTCTGATAAAATCAAGAGTGATATAATGAAAACAAAAGTCATGATCAGCTTCAAAATCAGCTTGTGTGCACAGGTTTAAGAAGTACATGTAATTGTATCGATATAGTGAGAGCAAACAATTCAAAACCCAACTCAAGATTTCAAGAACAAAAACTATCGATTTAAACATAACAAAAATAAAAAGGTCAGTGGCAAATTATAGAGAAAAGACCCATACAGTGAAAGGACACCTCAATTGCACGTTTACGCATTATTGTTGCCATTTTGTGAGGTGCTAAACTGGTTTCCCCATGTAAAGTTAATCAAGTTGCCCACCGCCCTTTTTTTCCCCCATTCCTCAAGAAAACACTTTAAAATCTGTAAATCTCTCTGCTTTAGTGCCTGACCTTGCTTTAACTCACAATAGTAATCATTAAGCTCGAGTTTGACTCATGGTTGCACTTTAGTAGTTCTTGTAATGTCTAACAAATTCTTTGGACAGTGAATCCCCATTAACCCAATGGCTATATGAGCAGAAGGTCTTTCCTGACCTTCCTCACATACACTTTACAAGCAGATAATATGAATTGTACCACCACCAAAAAAAAAAAAAATCTTATTAGCTTACTAGCCAAAAAATCCATCATGCCCTGAAACAACAACTTTGATGACTAACTGAATGCATGTTCAATGTATGTTAAGCCTCAGTGTTTATCACATAGCACTTCTTTTAAGCCCATTTAAACTCAAATTCCATGTGAGAAGTTAAACACACGAGTTAACTAAAAGAAAAAATAAAACTTAATTGAAATTTATTTTTGACAAGTGATGCATACAAAAGAAATGTGCTATCTTCTCAGTCACAACACATTTAATGCTACAGATATCACATGCTGGAGTCTGATTCTGCTTTCTCAACAAGGTGTTCCTGTGGTATGCCCTGGCAACCTTCAAGTACTGTTCAGCAAAAAATAAATGTAATGAGCAAACTAGCATGTTCCAGTTATTTTTTAATAGAATAATTATAGATCATTATAACAAAAAAAGAAGATTTTGTTGTTATAGAATTAAGGGACATACTACTAGTATGTCCCTTAATTCAATTTTATTGCATCAGAAAGTTGAAGGCATCACCCATGATCAAAATGCAAAAGGCTGCAACATCACCAAAGCTACTGACGTCAACAGACAAATTATTTTAGTGCGAGAAAACCACAAAACTATTCATCTGAGATTAATGCCACTGGACTTACCAGAATAACCTCTAGTGCAGGTAGAATGCCCATGTTTGATAATGTCTTGAAGAAAGCATCCCTGTTTTGAGGTTGTAATGTTTGAGAGAATGCACAGAACTCCTTTAGGAAGTTTACCTAAAAGGAATAAAAAAAGAGAGGTCAACAAAACAAAGATCTTAAGAGTTTGTGACTGCAACAACTTTAAATAAATAAATTATTAAATTCTGGTATACCAGTTCGTGTCTTTTGTCATCATCTGTGGCCTCATCTGTTAGCTGTGCAAAGAGGTCTGTCAGGAACTTCTCATCGTCCTGACATCAAAAAAGGGAGATGAGATTTTAAGAAGTCAGTATTAAGAGTATGATTAATATGTCAATGTATGACAGACACCCAATTTTCACAAGTTACAAAGCTGTTATTGGTTTACAATAGTACAAGTCCAACATAATTACACAGAAAACAAAAGTGAATTGCATCATGTTTGTCAATGAGAAATTTGGAGCATAAACAATGTGATCTATCTGGTCATAAAAATACTTTTGATATGTTTATGCTGAAAACACCATCTCATTCAATGACATCTACTACCACTTTAAATATTTTTTAAAACCTTGGTTAGTGAACGGTTTGATTTAAGCTTGCCTGCCTTATGCTAATTAAGGAAGCAAAGACTCATATCTGTAGTGTTTGACTTCAGAGCGTGATATAGCAAAGAACACCAGAGTCAACAATGTGCCCGTTTCAGTTTTCCTCTAGCGCAGCATAACAGATTTACACAACACTACTGTGCCTCCATGGAGACAGCCATACATAAACAATGCTGAGTTGACACAGGATAAAAACACAAAGGTCACATGATCATAAAAGGCTGCCAGACAATCTCAGACAGGGTAAAAGTACAATCAGTCAAGAATAAAACCAATGTACAATCCTATAATTACTGTAATTTGAGGCTCACTAACATTTCATAAAAGAAATTCTCCTTTGTGAGGATTACAGTATATTCACAAGTTTACCTATTTATAACACTTGCTTCAATTAAACCATTTGTTTAAAATGTAGTGTTTATACAAAGTAAAAACAACAACCCCATACTGTTAGATCATACTACTACATGTCTGCCTATCTCACCTGTAGCATGCCCACAATCTCCACCTTGTTGAAAAAGATGAAGGAGTGCAAGGTGGACAGCATGTTTTCCTCAAAAACAGAGGGCGTGGGCAGCACCATATCCTGAATATACTGCACCCGATATGTCTGGTGAATTTTCTGACGCAGTTCAGGATCAGAGATGGGGATCACCTCCTTAAAACGGGCTGTTTTAGTGAGAAACTCACGATGCCGCCTTGGCTGCGGGAGTGCTGGGTCAAACTCCAGGCAACCAATGACGTCCATTATGCACTCATCAGAGAACATCACCTCAAAGAGTGCAGTACGATTCAGCAGGAAGATGCCTTTCATTATTTCATACAGGTGGTGCAGTCCCTCTCTGTTCTCCAAATCCTCACAAACACGGAACAATTCCAGGAGCTTGCGAATATAGCCTTCATTCTCCACAGCCAGTGCTAGTTTTTCACGCCGCAGTGGTGATGGGAGAGAAGAGGCCACCAACTCGGCCAGGTCCTCCAAACGGTTCAGTTCGCATGGCGGTAATTCCAAACCTGGGGATGACATGTCATCAAAACGCTCCTCCTCCGATTCGTCCACCACATCCTGTGTGATGTCAACTGAAGGGTCCTTTCCCTGCACCTTAATAAAACACAAGTGCGGACAAACATATTAGCACCTCAGGATGTAGCTACATAAGGGATCACCAGGAACACAAATAGCATCAAACCCACAAACTAATGGAGATGAAAAACTCAAACCCACACAAATTAAGTACACTAACCTGGCATATTTTCTCCCAGATTTCATCACAGCCAGCCTTCTCCTGGAAACTGAGTGCTAGATCATAATTTTCAGCCTCTGACCACACTATCAATGTGTCCTTTTCAAAAGAAAAACAAAGCCAATTTACAATAAACAGAGCAGAATGGGGGG